TGATATGTGATATGATATGATATGATATGGTGTGTTATGATATGATGTGATACGACAAAGTATGTGTAATGCGATGTTATATGATGTGATACATTTTGATGTGATATGACATATTGTGATGTGACTATTCTATTATATTACAGATTAAACATGAAAATGCAGCAGAGAGGGTTCGGGTGATCCTGGCACAGTCAGGCTGGTAAGGCTAATCATCAGCTCAGGGCCCTTGCTCGCTCTACATGCAGCCCAGACAGCGAATGGGACTTCTCCCAGGAAACACTGCCTAGTCGAACCCACCAAGAACTTTCCTGAGATTATGAAGGCTCCCCAACACTGCAGCCTTCTGCATTACCCAGATTGTCAGAAGGGCTGTGCTCCCGGTGGAGAACCCGGGCACTCTTCTGATCTGCGGCAAGAGATCATGAGGTACCAAACCAAGGGCACCGAGAACAATGGGGAACCTGACGACAGTGTACTTGGGATGCAAGCGAGACAATTTAAAGGCGAGGTCCGCATAGTTGTCATGCTTTTCCTGAATCTTGCCAATCTCATTGCTGTCAAAAGGGACAGAAAGTTCAATGATATAAATACATCCATTGGCTTTATCAAAAAGGACAAGATCAGGTTTGTTGGCACGAATTCTTCTGAAGCTGTATATGGGCCTATTCCACAGAAGTTGGAAAGCATCTTTTCCATGACGCCCTGGATATGTTCAGGGTCATACCATGGATGGACCTCGGAGTCAAAGCCACAGACATGGCGGAGACGGTAATAGAAGCAGCGAGCCATGCCATCATGTCGGTTAACATTTGCTGTTTGTGCCAGAGAAGGGCATCCACTGACCAGGTGTTGGACAGTCTCTGTAAATTCATTACATAGTCGACATTTCATGTTAATCTTTTCTTTAAGAATCACATTTTGGCGATTACGAGTGGGAAGTGGCTTGTCCTGAAGCCCTCAGTTTCACATTTGAGACCAGCCGACTTCATCCAGGCGAAGGAGTCAGTGGGATTGCTATTCTGTTCCACACACTGCATGTACACACGATGCAATGGCTTCTCAGAAAGCTTCTCCACACAAAGACCGACTCTGGGCAGATTTGGAGAAGGACTTCACCTGGGTTACTCCCATCGCTGTACCGTCCAGCAGTACATCGCCATCAACAAAATCAACCTCAAATTTCAGATTTTGTCCAACACCCTTGGCACGTTTAAATAGCTCTGGAATTCCTTGCTTCATCGAGAGTCTTCACATGCATCACCAGATGATCATCCGATATATAAATATGTGCAAAAGTACACAATAAAATTCTATCATGAAGAGCCTCCACATTAATCAAACCCCCACCTCCAGAATTGATTGGCGTATATAAACGATTAATAGAGGAACGAGCCCGGTGGGCTCTGTTATCAGACATGATCCTTCTGGTCAGGCGGTCAAGACTTTGTATGTGTTGTTTTGTTCAATCAACTACCCCTAAGGAATAGGAAAGGACTGGCACAGCAAAAGTAGTGGTGGCTTTGACCTTGTTTCGATTTTCTTTAAGCGAGATCTATACTCGGCCCAAAGTTTGTCTTGAATCTGGTCATTCTGGAGCTTGTCTCAAATTTGCATTCCAAGATAATTGCTCTTTCATATTGGTATCTCCTTTAGCAAGGAGCTCGATGTCATCCATGTAAAGGAGATGAGTAAGCGGTGTTGGGGATCTGTGCTGAGGAGGTCCGGGCTTATTAATGTTATTGTTATTATTAAATTATTATGTTGACTAAGCATAATGCTATGGTGAAGATCGGTTACATGTGTATGTATCAGTCGTGGTCAACTAGCACTTAGTTGGCCATAGATTATGTGAATGGATCAATCTATAAACGAGGATATGAATGTGCATATCATGCAAGATTTTGTTTATTCAACACTAAACATCACTACACCATTGCCTTTTTAGAAAGCGGTCTATACCAATTTAGAAAGTGTTAGCTTTGGAACACCTCCTGGTACCTTGGGAGTTTTCGTCCCGTTTGTCGAAACCACCGCGAGGCATCTAATCAACAATACAAAGTCAGCAATATCCTGTCAGTCATATATCCTGATATATACTGAGTCAAAATAGAAACTTCACAATTTATACTTTTAAATAAAAATATGAACTGTTATAGTAAACAGTTTTCGGGCATCATAATGTGATCCCCAAGTATCGACTCAAGAAAAAGTCACCACAGCACATTGTTCAATCCAAACATCGTGCAACCCGCAATTAGTGCCAAAACATCATTGCACGTGCATTCGAGTGCATCAATTGTACAAAGTGAAAAACAGTTTAAAGCACTAATGTAAGAACATTAACGCTCTCTGCATTAGTCTGGTACAGGGTGGACGTCCCAACTAACGCTCTCTGCATTAGTCTGGTACAGGGTGGACTTCCCAACTAACGCTCTCTGCATTAGTCTGGTACAGGGTGGACACCCCAACTAACGCTCTCTGCATTAGTCTGGTACAGGGTGGACACCCCAACTAACTCTCTCTGCATTAGTCTGGTACAGGATGGACATCCCAGCTAACGCTCTCTGCATTAGTCTGGTACAGGGTGGACGTCCCAACTAACGCTCTCTGCATTAGTCTGGTACAGGGTGGACGTCACAACTAACGCTCTCTGCATTAGTCTGGTACAGGGTGGACGTCCCAACTAACGCTCTCTGCATTAGTCTGGTACAGGGTGGACTTCACAACTAACGGTCTCTGCATTAGTCTGGTACAGCTGGTGTCTCTGCGGTACAGTGACGTCCCAGCTAACGCCTCTGGTGGACCACAACTAACGCTCTCTGCATTAGTCTGTACAGGGTGGACGTCCCAACTAACGCTCTCTGCATTAGTCTGTTACAGGTCTGCGTGGACGTCACAACTCACGCTCTCTGCATTTGTCTGGTACAGGGTGGACGTCCCAACTAACGCTCTCTGCATTAGTCTGTACAGGGTGGACGTCCCAACTACCGCTCTCTGCATTAGTCGGGTAAAGGGTGGGACACCCCAGCTTACATTCTCTGCATTAGTCTGTACAGGGTGGACGTCCCAACTAACGCTCTCTGCATTAGTCTGGTACAGGGTGGACGTCACAACTAACGCTCTCTGCATTAGTCTGCTACAGGATGGACACCCCAAACTAACGCTCTCTGCATTAGTCTGTACAGGGTGGACACCCCAAGCTAACGCTCTCTGCATTAGTCTGTACAGGGTGGACGTCCCAACTAACGCTCTCTGCATTAGTCTAGTACAGGGTGGAGACCCCAGCTAACGCTCTCTGCATTAGTCTGTACAGGGTGGACACTCCAGCTAACGGTCTCTGCATTAGTCTGGTACAGAGTGGACGTCCAAACTAACGCTCTCTGCATTAGTTTGGTACAGGATGGACACCCCAACTAACGGTCTCTGCATTAGTCTGGTACAGGGTGGACACCCCAACTAACGCTCTCTGCATTAGTCTGGTACAGGGTGGACACCCCAACTTTACGCTCTTCTGCATTAGTCTGGTACAGGGTGGACGTCCCAACTAACGCTCTCTGCATTAGTCTGGTACAGGGTGGACACCAAAACTAACGCTCTCTGCATTAGTCTGTACAGGGATGGACGTCCCAACTAACGCTCTCTGCATTAGTCTGTTACAGGGTGGACGTCACAACTCACGCTCTCTGCATTAGTCTGGTACAGGGTGGACACCCCAACTACTCTCTCTCTGCATTAGTCTGGTACAGGATGGACACCAGCTAACGCTCTCTGCATTAGTCTGGTAGGGTGGACGTCCCAACTAACGCTCTCAGCATGCATTAGTCTGGACGTCCCACAGGGTGGACGTCCCAACTAACGTTCTCTGCATTAGTCTGGTACAGGGTGGACGTCCCAACTAACGGTCTCTGCATTTGTCTGGTACAGGGTGGACTTCACAACTAACGGTCTCTGCATTAGTCTGCTACAGGTGGACACCCCAGCTTACATTCTCTGCATTAGTCTGGTACAGGGTGGACGTCACAACTAACGCTCTCTGCATTAGTCTGTACAGGATGGACACTCCAGCTAACGCTTTCTGCATTAGTCTGTACAGGATGGACACCCCAACTAACGCTCTCTGCATTCGTCTGTACAGGATGGACGCCCCAACTAACGCTCTCTGCATTAGTCGGGTACAGGATGGACACCCCCAGCTTACACTCTCTGCACTTGTTTGGTACAGGGTGGACACCCCAGCTTAAACTCTCAGCATTTAATTGGTACAGGATGGACACCCCAACTTACACTCTCAGCATTTGTTTGGTACTACAGGGTGGACACCCCAGCTTACACTCTCAGCATTTGTTTGGTACAGGGTGGACACCCCAGCTTACACTCTCAGCATTTGTTTGGTACAGGGTGGACCCCCCAGCTTACACTCTCAGCATTTGTTTGGTACAGGGAAGACACCCCAGCTTACACTCTCAGCATTTGTTTGGTACAGGGTGGACACCCCAGCTTACCCTCTCAGCATTTGTTTGGTACAGGGTGGGACACCCCAGCTGACGCTCTCAGCATTTGTTTGGTACAGGGTGGACTCTCCAGCTGACACTCTCAGCATTTGTTTGGTACAGGATGAACATCCTGCCTAACCCTCTCTGGTTCAGTTTGTTACACCGTTGAGAATCTTGCTGAGATTCCGCATTTAGTTTTGAAGATGCTAGGCGCTCTAGCTAACGCTTCTGTTTCAGCTAACATGGTCTGGGATTTTTGTACAGTGGTACTCACTCTAGCTTCCTGCCTAAGTGGCCACTATGAGTTAACAGTGAGTAGAGGACTCTACCATATACAACACATATATAACAACTGAATACGAACTTAAAGTATCAAAGAACGTAATGAAATCTCAAGACGTTATACACGAGCTATGATGGCATCAATTCACAACACATTTAAAGTCAATTGGTGAGTTTTAACGCAATAAACTAAACCATTTGTAAACATCCACGTGATGTACTTACCAAGAATGTGCTTGTCAGTTTCAGTGGGTACAGCATGGGCACAAACAGTAGAACAGCCATCACACAGCCCAGCATATTTCCGACTACCTGCATATAAAACTGGGTTCCTGCTGTGTACATCTCTGCGGGGAAACCGAGGATGAAGATGGCGGACATGAAGGAGAGGAGCAGCGACATCGCCACAGGTAAAACGCTCATCTCACCGGAAGCCAACAGAAATTCTTTGGTCGAATTTTGGTTCCTTGATTTGATGGCGTAGTAAACACCTATTGCAGCTGACAGTACCAACATCAGTGCAAAAACCACATAGTCCCACACACCCAGATAGGCTGTCGCCATGTTTGGGGAATGTACAACCTCTACCGGGGTTATCCTTTGCTTTGAAAATGTCTTGAAGACGTCTCACATTCAACGCTTAATGTAGAAACATTGTGCAACGTTGCTCGAGAGCTTAGGTCAACTCACAAGTAACGTGCCGGGCAAAAGAGAGTATACACTTTAAAGTTTGGTGCAAAGAATTACGAATTATAAACGTTATTAAAATTTTACCGGGCTAGAAACTGTCACGGAAACACTGCGCATGTAAGGTCCCAAGACATTGCGATGATACCAGGATAAATGCATCCATGTAAAATGACCATTTCTTGTATTTCAATTTTAGCCACCATACAAATAGGTGTATATTATCTTCAGGTCGACTGTATACTTGTTTACCTCCCTCTTGTCTATTATCTTAAATTGTTATACAGCTTGGTTACATAATACTTCTCAGTGACAACGCACGGCTGTACGTGGACCTTGAGTGCAATCCATTTTGAACCAAATACATCAACATTACCAGCTATTTTCAAACAGGCGAGTGGTGATTTTTACTTTGCTATTCAAACAATACGCACAATATTCAGTAGTATCATGTTATATCTGTAACTGATTCGGCATGACTTTCCTATCTCATGGTAGTAGAAATGGGCGACTGGGTAGCCCTAGTGGTTAAAGTGTTCGCTCGTCAAGCTGAAGACACGGGTTCGATTCCCTATATGGGTACAATGCATGAGCCCATTTCTGGTGTTCCCCGCCGTATTTGTTGCAGGTATATTGCTAAAAGCGGCGCTAACTCACTAACTCACATGTTAGTACATTAATGTATTTCACGAGCGTCAGTAACTGGTCTGGACCAGACAATCCAGTGAGTGAACACCGCTCATGGGCGCGTTGTTCATGCTACGTGAACAATGACATGCCAGCATAGTCACATATACCAAACGTTTGACAGACCTTAGAGCCTGATTGACACAGCGTAGGACTCGGTGCTAGACTAACATGACAACATTGATAATAAACGTGTTTCCATGAGGGCTTGGGGTTACTGATTCCCCTTGCGAGTACAATGACACACCAGCACAACCAGGAAGACGTCTTCCTTCGAGTGGTTCTGGTATCTGACTGCGAGTACAATAACAAACCAGCACAGTCAGGAAGACGTCTTCCTTCAAGTGGTTCTGGTATCTGACTGCGAGTACAATTACACACCAGCACAGCCAGGAAGACGTCTTCCTTCAAGTGGTTCTGGTGACTGACTGTGAGTACAATGACACACCAGCCAGGAAGACGTTTTCCTTCGAGTGGTGCTGGAAGAAGTCTTCACACCAGCACAGTGGTTTTCTTCGTATCTGAGATTGACTGCAAGTACAATGACACACCAGCACAGCCAGGAAGACGTCTTCCTTCAAGTGGTTCTGGTGACTGACTGCGAGTACAATTACACACCAACACAGCCAGGAAGACGTCTTCCTTCAAGTGGTTCTGGTATCTGACTGCGAGTACAATGACACACCAGCACAGCCAGGAAGACGTCTTCCTTCGAGTGGTTCTGGTATCTGACTGCGAGTACAATTACACACCAACACAGCCAGGAAGACGTCTTCCTTCAAGTGGTTCTGGTATCTGACTGCGAGTACAATGACACACCAGCACAGCCAGGAAGACGTCTTCCTTCAAGTGCTTCTGGTATCTGACTGCGAGTACAATGACCCACCACCACAGCCAGGGAAGACGTCTTCCTTCCAGTGGTTCTGGTATCTGACTGCGAGTACAATTACACACCAACACAGCCAGGAAGACGTCTTCCTTCGAGTGGTACTGGTGACTGACTGCGAGTACAATTACACACCAGCACAGCCAGGAAGACGTCTTCCTTCAAGTGGTTCTGGTATCTGACTGCGAGTACAATTACACACCAGCACAGCCAGGAAGACGTCTTCCTTCGAGTGGTTCTGGTATCTGACTGCGAGTACAATTACACACCAACACAGCCAGGAAGACGTCTTCCTTCGAGTGGTTCTGGTGACTGACTGCGAGTACAATTACACACCAGCACAGCCAGGAAGACGTCTTCCTTCGAGTGGTTCTGGTATCTGACTGCGAGTACAATGACACACCAGCACAGCCAGGAAGACGTCTTCCTTCAAGTGGTTCTGGTATCTGACTGCGAGTACAATTACACACCAACACAGCCAGGAAGACGTCTTCCTTCAAGTGGTTCTGGTATCTGACTGCGAGTACAATTACACACCAGCACAGCCTGGAAGAAGTCTTCCTTCAAGTGGTTCTGGTATCTGACTGCGAGTACAATGACACACCAGCACAGTCTGGAAGACGTCTTCCTTCAAGTGGTTCTGGTATCTGACTGCGAGTACAATTACACACCGGCACAGTCTGGAAGAAGTCTTCCTTCAAGTGGTTCTGGTATCTGACTGCGAGTACAATTACACACCAGCACAGTCTGGAAGAAGTCTTCCTTCGAGTGGTTCTGGTATCTGACTGCGAGTACAATAACACACCAGCACAGTCAGGAAGACGTCTTGATTCAAGCGGTTCTGGTATCTGACTGCGAGTACAATGATGAAGACGTCTTCCTTCCAGGGGTTCTGGTATCTGACTGCGAGTACAATGACACACCACCACAGTCTGGAAGAAGTCTTCCTTCAAGTGGTTCTGGTATCTGACTGCGAGTACAATTACACTAGCACAGTCTGGAAGAAGTCTTCCTTCAAGTGGTTCTGGTATCTGACTGCGAGTACAATTACACACCAGCACAGTCTGGAAGAAGTCTTCCTTCGAGTGGTTCTGGTATCTGACTGCGAGTACAATAGAACACCAGCACGGCCAGCTTAACATTAAACATCTTTCCAAGCTTCTGGTTATGGATGTGAACGCAATGATGTCCTAACATAATTAGATTAACATAGTTCTTCCCTCGAGTGTTTCTTGTGATCGACTAGAAGAACAACGTTATACTAGCTTGTCCTGGGTAAACACGTCCTCATATATATAGATTGATATAGGTCATCCTTAGGTCATACAACATGGTTACAAGCTGTATGTGAATTCTTCTTCATCTTTGCATTAGATAAGGATTCACCATATCGTCTGTTAGTTTTTTTTACACCAACGCCCTTGATATACTACTCACACTTTGCTAAGGATCACAAAAAAACTTTACTTAAACGTAGATTTATAATTTGAAATTGTATCCATTTAAAACTGGATAAATAATAATATGGTAACCCCTCTTTAGGCAAACGGTCACTTTAATGATACATGAGTAACCATAAAAATGGTTTTCATGGCACCAATCAACCATTTTTACACAAGTACAAAACATCTGTCAATAGCAGGTATGGGTTCTTACGATAAGCTTAGATATTTAAACCTAATTTGACCCTACATCATAGTTTTCAGTTGCATTTGATCCTAGCATATTGTGAATATTATATGTCCATCAATTTCTGTATAAAAGAATATAAATTTGGACCTTTTTGAGCATAGGCAGCTTGGTTACATAGTACCTCTCAGTAACATCGCAAAGCTGTACGTGGACCTTGAGTGCAAGCCACTTTAACCAGAAGCACCACCATTACAAGTTATTTTGGAACAGGCGAGTGGTGATTTTTATTTTTGCTGTTCAAACAGTATCAAGTTATATCTGTTACTGAATCGGCATGACTATCTTATCTCATACCACATGTTAGTTATACGGGGCGGTGGGGTAGCGTTCCCCTGTCACGTCGAAGAGCCGGATTCGATTCCCCACATGTGTACAATGCGTGAAGCCCATTTTTGGTGTCCCCCGCCATGATATTGCTGGAATATTGCTAAACGCTGCGTAAAACTAAACTCACTCACTCTTAGCGTACAATATCAGCATTGGCGGGTTGATAATGAACGTCTCCATTGATGTCTCGAATGCTTCACGCTGCCAGTACAACGATATATCAGCACAGGTATGAAGATGTCTTCCTTCGAGTTTCTGACGGACTGCGTGTACAATTAAGATCTAGCAATATTAAAACCTCTTTCCAGAAGGGTTGTAGTGGCAGGTGCGGTGGGGTAGCCTAGTGGTTAAAGCGTTCGCTCGTCACGCCAAAGACCCCTGTTCGATTATCTCTCGGGTACAATGTGTAAAGCCCGTTGCTGGTGTCCCAAAATGAATTTCGAAATGAATGGCAAAAAAATTGAACTAACAAGAAATGTTGGCTCCAAAATATCTCATCCTAGCAAAATGGCGCCATTAGGCTTATAAAATTAATTAATGGCCTTCATCACTTTATTCCCTTTTTCATTTAAAGGGGTGGTGGTGTTACCTTTACTAGTTCACTTGTCATGCCGAAGATCCGGCATGGGTACAATGTGTGAAGCCCTGTTTTGGTGTCCCCGCCGTGATATTGCTGGAATATTGCTAAAAGCGGCGTAACACTATACTCACTCACTTTAGTTTACTCTAGAATCACGCCATGACAACAATGGCATACTGCTGAACTTACGGATGTCTTCCCTCGAGTGTTTCTGGTGATCGACTATGGGTACAACGTTTTTACTAACGTGGCCTAAAGTAAACACGGTCGATATTGTTTTACTCAGGTCACGTCCCACTGTAGATTAATGTGTGCCATCGTAAGACCATACAACATGGCCACATGCTGCATACCAGCTAATTTACTATTCTTCTCTGAATCGCTTTGCATTAGATAGGGATTCACTTTTCCTTTGTTAGTTTTTGACTCACTTGCGCTTGATACATAGATCAATTTCTCTATGAAAAATATACATTGCGACCTTTTTGAGCGCAGGCTGCTAGTCTGTCACGAAATATGAAAGTACAATATATTAGACTAGACAAACCTCAAATTAAAAGTCAACACATGCCTGTCACGCTAGGTCACTGCTCATCTTGTGATAGCAGTGTTGCTATGTACACAACAATGTGAAGTCTTCCATTGTGCAATGATATATTGCAGTCGAACATGTAAGTCAGTATATGTAACGCGTGTGTATCGACGTTCATGCGGGGTTTTATTTTGAACATGGGTCCACAACACAGTGATCATCATGAGCTACGATCT